ACTGAACGTGCTGTGCATGCTGAGTCTGCATTATAAAATCTGTTGCAAATGGCTGATATATTGCAGTGCAAAGCTGTATTGAGTACTGCATGAGAAAATCTGCTTTTAATAAACTCCTCGGGCCTCTTTCCTGCAGTCTAGTCCTTCATGTCTTATAAACGTGATCCTCAAATCATGGGATGCTTGAGAAGAAGACCAACATAAAATGCAAACTAGAAAAATATCAGAAATCCCAAGCTGAATGTGTAGGGTCAGGGGCAAAAACTTTTGAATCACACACACACACACACACACCAATTTTGAGTTTATTTTCTTTTTCTTTTTTAGCTATTTGAATCTCATTTCCTTTGTGAGATGTGGAATGCATGCATGGCAAGATTATATTGTAGCAAATAATAAAGCAGAATTCATTTTCTGTTATGTACTTTGCATGTGTCATTCCATTTTATCTTCACAGAACCTTTCCTGACAATGCCATCATAGTCTGCATTTCATACATGAAGGAGTAGACTAAAGGGGTTAAGCAATATGCCTAAAAATCCACAGCCAGGAATGGCAGGACTAGGACTTAAACATAAATCTCTCTTCAGAGTCAGTAAACTGAGTGACACCATGCACTTAAGAGTGCTTAGTACAATGCTAGGCACCCAGTAAGCAGTGTTTCAATAAAGTTTCTCACAGCCAGATTGCATAACAGAGGATGATTGGCTGCTGCTACATTGTAGATTTCCCCACTTGGCAAGAGGCCACCACACATTGAAATGCAAGAGACACAGGAGGGATGGGAGAGTCAGTTGTGTTATTTGCATCTAATTCCACTTGTCTAATGGACTTGTTAAAAGCACCCTAGGTGGAAAGTGTGAGTCTTAATGGCATTTTATAAAAGTTGCTGTGATGAATTAACACATAAAGCAAATTAAAAACAGCTTATCGCTTTTTAACTTGCATGATGGGGGCACAGTGGCAATTTTTTCCCCAGACGTGAGGCTCCATTAATATCCAGAAGAGCCAGAAGCTGCTGAAATGTGTCAGCTGTTCGGCTTTCAGGGACCTGACAAGTTTGAATCAGTGTAATCCTAGTGGGGGCAGATTGTCCAAGATGAATAGTGCTCACAGAAAGAATTCCTCCCGAGCTGAGCTCTTCCGGAGGACACCTAGTGGGACACCTTGGGCTGTGACACTTCCCCTCAGAATTTGTTGAAAATAGATGGAACATAGTAGAATGGTTGCCACACCAGGAGAGGACTCTAGGGAACAGTTTTGAATCCCCCCTCCCCTTCCAAATAGAGATATTTAGCCTTGAGAGATGAGGAGCTTTAGAAGGCCATTGACATTTGGTCAAGCTAGAAGCAAGAAAGGACATTCTAGTGGCATAGCCAATGGGGTGTTATGTTGCTAATCCAGAAGCCACACCTCTCTGGTGGTTCAAATCTGTCAGATACTCTGCAGAAGAATGATCCATCATCTCCTTCTGTGCAATTTACAGCTCAGAAACCTGCTTAACAGCCAGTTATGAGTTCATTCTGGCTTGAAGGCAAGGAGGTCTTTGAGAGAAATGAAGTTCATGATTCAAAGCCAATATTGTTTTTTCAGCTGTAATGTAAACCCCAAATCCTCTTGCCATCTTGTCAATTCTGATTTATCAGGATAGGGCTTGCAATACTTACAAGTATGGCTTCATTTGATCCTTTCCATAACACTTTCAGATAACTTGTGCTGTATTATGGCAATTTTACTAGTAAGGAAAGCGTTAAATGACTTGCTCCAGGTCACATCATAAAACACTACAAGCGACAGGCAGTCTGACTCTAGGGCCCACTTTCCTAACCACTGTCAGCTTTCCTGATGGCCTCTCTGCCTACTTTCCCAGCATGACGTATGTAAGAAAAGCCTGAATCTTATACCTGGGTGAAGTCTGAAACCCAGCTAGACTTTTAGAGTAAGAAATATTGACACAAGAGATGAATGATAAAGATGCTTCAGGACTTTGTGGAGGATGTTATTAATTAAAGCTTAAGGGAGGATTAGCAGTGCAGGTTGCTACTACTAAACAGTTAATATGGCTAGACTTCAATAGCCTAGGAAATTAAACAGTATTAAAAAAAAAAAAAAAGAGCCAGGGAGCTCTGGTGGCCTAGTTTCAAGAAGCAACACTGCAATCCCAAAGGTGCACAATTCAAATCCACCAGATGCTCTCCTGGAAAAGGGGGGCAATTTCCTCCTGTACCAGTCAGAGATGATTTGACAGTACACACACAAAAAAATTAATAAAATAAAAAAATTTTTTAAAGAGCCAGGAATGTGGATTTTGAAGTCAGAAGGACCTGAGTTTATAATTAGTGTCTACCACATACATATGTGACCTGGAACAGATTATTTAATTTTCCAAGCCTCTTTCCTGAATCTATTAAAAGGATCATCCCAATTTTAACTTTAGGGTTGTTTTGAGGTTAAACTAGACAATAAGTACAAAGTTTTAGGATCCACAATCAACATCTGTAATACCAGAAGTCAAGAAATTAAAAGACATATTGCATTGAGCAATCTACTACCAAAGATCTCTTTAAAGTACAAAAGAGCAAGGATGTCATGTTAAGACTAAGGTACACCAGATCCAAGAAATTACTTCTTTTGCATGTGGAAGCTGGATGATGAATAAGGAAGACTAAAGAAGAATATTTTAATTGTGGTGTTGGCAAAGAGCATAAGACTGTATGGTGCAGGATAGGGCATAATTGATTTTGAGCTGTTGTTCACAGAGTTAGTAAGAGTCAACATCTCTACTCAATGGCACCTAACAACAACAATAATTAAGAGTATAAGTAACGGCTACCATTGTGACTAGCATGGAGTCTTAAAGTGGCACAAACAGAAAAGCACTTGACTACTGGCTAGAAGATTAGTCTCAGGCCTGTTATCTTACCTCTTTTATTCAGAGTGGTTTTTGTAGAATGCATTTTTATAAGTATCCACTTAAGACAAAAAGGGAAGAAGATAATAACAACTGTCTTCAAGTCAGAGATGGTCACAGTTGATGTGTCAGGGACTATGCTTTGTGTATATTACCTTATGTAACACTTAATTGTTATAACAATTCCAAGGTGAAGGTAGTATTATCCACAGTGTGATCAGTATCATCACCATTACACAGGAAGAAAATGAAGCCTAAGAGAGGTTGAGTAGTTTACCTACATAATTAGCTAAACAGCTAGCAAGAGTTAACAGGGTCAGGATTCTATATTCTTACTATACTGCACTCTGTTATGTTACACCTGCCATCAGCTGTGTGATATAGATTAGATAGACAGATGATAGATAGATAGATAGATAGATAGATAGATAGATAGATAGATAGATAGATAGATAGATAGATACAGGCATACCTCAGAGAACTTGTTGGTTATATGTACTGTGGAGTCAAAACCAACTTATACCTGACCAGCAGGTTTTCAGAGGCAGTAATTTGAGTGGGAGGAGATTGCTCATCTTTCTCCCACAGAGCAGCTGGTGAACTTAAACTGCATGTCGTTGGGTTGACTGCACAGCTCCTTGGCACTAACCCACTAGTGCTTCCTTCCCTCAAAGATGCTGTGGTTTTAGTCACAGTCTACCATCGTAAAGTGAATGTAACTAATTTCTGTGGCTTCTTACATCCAGAGAAGTGACAGGAGTGGTTCCTCTGAGCTTGTATGCCCTTCTTCCTGGTGGGGGCTTTGTTTGAACCTTTGGTTGGGAAGATACATATAATGGACCTGGAAATTATTCACTCCAGAAGAATGGCTCCCCAATTTTGTGACTTGAGCACAGAGTTAATGGAAAAGGTTGTGTTGTAAATTATTTCACTTTTCCTCCAGAATCGGAGAGCTCTAGATGCTGTCTTCGGCTCTATTTGGTTGTCATGACAGCAGATATGACATTTCTTTCATTGGGAAGAAAAAAAGAAGAAAGGAAATAATCACACATGGTTCTGACTGATTTTTAAAAAATTGTTTCCCAGATTCGACTAGTTTTGTATGCAGAGTGGTTACGTGGCAAGAAAATTCTTAGAGTAGAATCAGAGGGGAAGAAATAGGGAGGTGGTGAAATGACTTTCTGGAAAAATCATATGGGGGGGTGGTGATGATTGCTGTGACAGGGGGATAGGGGAGAGAATGGACAATATATGGCTTGACACAAACTGTCAGCTCCTTAAGGTAAAATCTGGTTACCAAGGTCTTGCTCATCATTTTAATTATGCTTTCAATTCCCATTCCCCACTGCACATGTATATTATTTAAGCTTAGCAAAAGGTCAGCAAATGCTCCATGGTGGAAGACACAATTCAGTATGCTATGTGCAATGATGTGGCAGAATCAGCATTTTGTGGAAGCACAAAAGAGACATGCATCCTTTCATCAATGTACACATATGTACTTAAGCAGGCTTTCATTTGTTCCATTTTAAGCACTTGTTATTAGTTACTTCTGTCAAATTTCAGTGTCAGCCCAATTCTCCAGTGAATGAAAGGGTCATGTGCCCTAATTTGAAACATCAGAATTGAAATCATTTTTCCTGATTATAAGGGAAAGAAATAGTTTGACACATGTGAGATTTCTTTCAGACAAAAATAGTCCATTTCAGAAAAATTTCCATGTTTCTCTTCTTTTTCTTGTGGCATTTTAATCTGCTTGCATTAGGAGGGTTAAAAAGATCTCCTTTCGAGACTAAAGTGCTTTTGGCATCTTGTATTATTAATTACTTTTTAACAACTAATGGTCTTCAAAAAAAGAAGTCCCCTATCCTTAGGGTGCTATAGGCTACCATAGAAACCACCAAGGTGAGGCAAATGTCAGCCTCAGCATCTGACCAGTGCAGTTTGCTTGCTTACCATAATCTAGGTCATCATCCAGGAAATTGTTGTCAAGTAGATGGTGGGTTCTCAGGGAAAATTCAAAACTGTGAGTTCTAGATGTGAGCCACCAGAGATTCCTAACAGTGTGCTTTTCTGTCATTTTCTCCAGAGCCATGTTTGACTATGACAAGAGCAAGGACAGTGGGCTGCCAAGTCAAGGACTTAGCTTTAAATATGGAGACATTCTCCATGTCATCAACGCCTCGGATGATGAATGGTGGCAAGCCAGGCGAGTCACCCTGGAGGGCGACAGTGAGGAGATGGGAGTCATCCCCAGCAAAAGGAGGTAAGAATGCTTTTCGGGTATTTCGGGATATTAGCTTTTCTGTTACCCGGGAAGTGGAGCTGATGGGTAGGGGTGGTATAAGTGGGAAAACTGTCAATGAAAGAACTATTTAAGTGAGACAGTCAATCCATGAGAAAATTGTCAGTGGTGACAGATGAAAAAAATTTAAAACTCTTAACTCTCTTCATATTAGGATTTTACCAAATTTAATGGCTTTGAGAAGATGGAGCAGGGGCAGAGAATCTGCTCAAACTTCCTTCACAGACCTTTTACAAGTATCCATATGTCCAATACATGTTTGACTGAGTTGATCTGTTCCTATACAGATTTAGAAACTCAGAGGGCTTGTTCTAGATATGTAATAGTTTTCAAGAGAATTTTATAATTTGTGAAAGCCAGACAGATTGTTTTCTAATCTTGCTGTGGAATACTTCCAAATGAAAAAGAAAATCCTTATCCCAAATCAGATGCTTGGACTATGCACTGTCAAGATTCTTAGGTGATACAAAGACTATCTGCAGTTGCTTTTTTTCACTGAAACACTAACTTCTTTACTCCTATTCCTCTCCTCAATCCTCAGCTCCAGCTTCCATTTAAGATTTTTTGTTCCCGCCATGCCTTCTCTGAGTCAGAACTGTCCTATGCTTTCTTCTTTGAGCATGCCTTCAATCTGCTTTTAAGAAGCAGGCAAATGTTTTAGAAGAGCGAACTCCTTCATTTGCCCTAGCAGTTTCTAATAACCACTGCTAGAGAGGAGTTTTTCTTCCACAAATGTCTTTTTTGACAGCAAGAAGTAGAAATTTTCTGTCTATCCAATGGAAAATAGATGTGGCATGAAATCAAAGTCCGGTATCATGCTTATTTAAAATAGTCACCATCTACTCTTGAGCTGCAAGTTCCTCAAAGGACCCTTATAGTAACATCAGATCCAGAAATCCAAAGCGCCCCAGAAATGGTCTTATGCAAAGTTGGATATTCACGTGTTGAATATCACAAAGTGATATAGTTAGTTAGCTGGTAAAAATCATAGACAAGATACATGAATTATACCCAAGAGTAACTCTGTGAGGCACCCCAGCAAAGAATGGACCCTGCACTTGGGTGAGCAAGGGGTGAGTGCAGGCAAATTACTCCTCGTTTACCTTTAGTGAGCAGGCATCAGGATGAAACGGTTGCACTTCTGGGTCTTCTCTCAAGTCTCTTTGCCTCTCCATCTCCTATCTGCAGATAGACTATTTCTCTTTTTCCTTGAATATCTTCAAACGTAAAGAACTGGGCTTCTGGGTAATTGCCTAACATTGCATTGTAAGAGAATCCTGGCTTTATGCAATGACTTGTAGTGTTTACTGAAAGGTTAAGTATTCAAAGCAGTGGCTCTCAGGGCCATTTTTTTATATTCAGTGGTTCTCCATTTCCATTTCTATCAAAACAATATGAATTTGGTTGGCTTTAATTTAAATCATCAAAGCTGTCTGAGGAGCTATCCTCTAGATGGAGCGATTATGGCGAATGCTGTTCCAAGGATAAAAACAGGATTGTAGAAGGAAAGCTATGGAAGAATAGATTTCAGGTCATTTTAAAGAAATCCTTTTAATACTCAGAGCTGCTTAGAGACCGTCTAGACAACCTGAAGAAATTGTGGGCAGGAGCAATAGTTGTCACAGAAAGAGAACATTATAAAAACTTTTATATACTTCTGTCTACCAGTTCTCTTTACAAACATGCCTTCCTAAGATTCTGGTCCAGTCCAACCTGAATAGGTCCTGGAAATCTGTATTTGTTTACATATTCCCTCATATGATCCTAACGATTGAAAAATGCCTTGACAGAAAACATTGTGAAACTGATTCAAGTTTGGATGAGAGGGCTGAAGTATATCATTTCAGGTTCTTTGCAAGCCTGAGATTCCGTGACTACTTCTAATTTTTGTCAATAGTCATTCACTTGCCCAATGACACATAATTATCCTCCCTAAGAAACATTCTCAGTTCTTCTTCCCAAGATAATTTTCCATCTACTTACCATCACTACTGAGGTAGCTGTTGGTCTCTGTCCCATTTTGGATGGAAACCATCTTAACCTTAGTACAGCTGGCCTTTAAGAGAAGCTTAGTGCTTTGATTCCAATATTGATACTTATTTCAGTTTTATTTCATGAAGGGTTTTAATAGTGTAAAAAGAGTGTATCTGATACAGGAGTAACAGGGTCTGACCTCCATTAACTACACAAGGGGGTAAAAACCTCCATCAAGAACATGCAGCTCACAGGAGCAATGATTTTGTAAATTATTACCTAACTTGGAAGGGACTAGAGAGCATTATGCTGAGTGAACTAACTCAGTCTCACAAGGATAAATATTGTATAAAACCATTATTGTAGAATGAGTATAGGGATCCAAGGGAGGTGGGGGAAGGTAGAAGCAGAGGGTTGAGGATGTGCAGGAGTGGGTGATTAATCATGGAGTTGTAAAATTTTATGGGTGGGGAGATGAGGGAAACTGGAATAATCTAGTCTCAAAAACAGTGTATTCAAATTCTGTAAATAAACTAGTACTAAAAAAAAAGAAGAACATGAACAATGCCAAACCAATCCCTGTGGGGACAGACATGCCTTCATGCTCCTGCACCTCCTTCTGTCAATTCTAACCTCAGTCATCCCTTCCCTCACATCTCTCACTTCACTACCTTTGGGGTTGATAATTCATTGCAGTGACCACACAGAATTCACAGACCATAGTCAAGAATATAAAGTTTATTTGTTAATTAATAAGTTATAGTTTAGGTTTTGGAAGCAGAAGTGGCATCCACTTCCTAAACAACATGCCTCTGGAAACTCTATGAACTTTGATAAAGAACAATAGTTATAGAAAGGCTTCAGGCCTTTTGTTCATAGAGTCACTAAAAGTCATGCACAATTTGACGGCAATCAACAACAGTTTGGGTTAGAAGCATGCAGGATAACGTTTTCACAGGTCTACTTTCCGGTAGGCCTCTCTGGTCTTAAGGGTCAACTTTGAGCCAAAGTTACAAAGCTCTGTTAGTTCTCCCAGTTATATGTCTCCCGTCTCCAACTTTGAAAGTAAGATTAGGCCAGAATACAGGCTCAGCTGTGGTTCTGTGGGATGGCAGATCTCATTCAGCTCTGTTTCACACAAATCCTTGGCCTCTGCCACTGCTGCCTCTCAAGCCATCTAGTCTCAGTCTCGCTTCATCTCACAGGAACCTCTAGCTCAAAGGATGTGCTAGGCTCGCTGTTTCTTTCCAGAAAGTAGTGAGATTCATTTTTGGTCTCTGAACATGCTCAATTTAAGCCTGATGTGATGGCGAAACTGACCAATCTTTACATTAGCATTCTATACATCTTATTTGCATGTTCTTAACCCACCCACCCACCCCCAAAAAAGGCTATTTATTTATATTACTAGCAAACTAGCCAATCCCTTGATGGGGCCACAAACACGTAAAATTTGTATAGTCCAGACTTTATTATGTGAAGAATGTAGCATCACATTAGAAGATTGGAGGAAGACTCATCATCAACCTGCCATATGCAGAGGGCATAGCCTTACATTAAAAAAATAAGAGGACTTGAAAGAATCTACCAAAGAAGATCAAAGACTACCATCTTTAATATTGGTTATATGTTAACACCAAGAAACAAAAATCTTCAGAACTAGACCAATAGATAATATCATGGTAGATGGCGAAGAGATTGAAATTGCCAACAATTTCCTTTTATGTGAATCCATAATCAAGATCCATGGTATCAGCAGTAAAGAATGACATGCATTGCACTGAACATGTATGTTGCCAGGACCTTCTTCAAAGTTCTAGTAGACATAGAGGCCACTTTAAAGACCAAGGCGAACCTTATCCAAGCCATGAAAAAAATTAGATATAAAGAGGGAACCAATAATCTAATAATAAAAATCTATAATAAAGTCCACCCTAAAAAGAATATATATAACTTTATTATTGCATAAAATAAAAGATTTGTTGTGAACTTTGTTGAGTCTCATCTTTAATATTTAACTTCTAAATAAGAAACTTGCACATGCATTAAGGATCTTAAAACTTAGTTCTGAATAAATGGTAGCTGGTATTAATCTGATTTACTATTAAATTGAGATTTTTTAAAAAAAATTTCTAATCCTCTCTTGTCCTTTTTCTCAATAAGGTTCCTCTAGTAGAGCTAGTCTGGAACAATCCTATGTGGCTAATATTGATGTAGGACTTTACCAAAAAATGTTTCTCTGTCAATGATACCTTGTCAGTGTTCCAGTGAAGCCATGAGCTGGGTAGTGTGGAAATCATTGCCACTTTCTTATGTAAGGAAATGAGAACTAAAAATGGCAAGTGACACCATGTACAGCATTACCATAATCATCTTAGCAGCAGCTTATTGTGTGCCAGGTTCTTAATATGAGCTAGCAATTTTGCTATAGTTTCTCTTTTTACATCACATTTTCTGATGTCTCTATTAATATTCTACTTTTATGAATAATAATCCTGAGACCTTAAAAAGTTGAATACCTGTCCTAAGTCACAGAGCTAGTAAGTGACAGTGTCAGAATTCAGGTTCAGGACTAAGTGATTTCATGAGCTTAGCAGAGGACCTCTGCTTTATGAGTTCACACAGCTTGTGAAAGCCAAGCTGGGATTTATTTTACTGTCTATTATGCTAAGCCTCTACAGTAACTAGTCACCTGAATTCATTGATGGCAGCTTATAGCCACAATTGGGCAAGGGTTCACTACTTACCTAATCTCTAAGAGAAAGCAAGCTGTGGCCTCTATTGTGAGAGATATTTCAACTCTAATGCAGCCATTGTGGATATCCTGGATGAGATGGATTGATTCAGTTACTGGGGTAATGAAGGTAGGCGTGTCAGAGACAATGAAGTTGCCTCAGTATAGAGCAGGGTTCAGATGCTCAAGTGACTTGACCACCTAACCATCGAGTTGGAACCGAATCATAGCTGACCCTCCAGCAGACTTTCAGAGGCAGTTATTCAGCCCTAAAGATGTTCCCATCATCCATCAGTGCACTAAGCTTTACCTTACTTCATAGTTGTCTGGAACCTGAAATACCAGATGGGAAAAAGGTGAAAGGGGAGAGGAAAACAGTTGAGCTTCTTAAACCAGGACCATTTGTGTTCCCTGTTGGTGTCGCCATCCAGTTTGTTTCCAGTATTTTGGTCAGTGAGCAGGGAGTGAGGGGGTTATTTCTGCCTAAATAACCTAATTAATTGCTTGATTCTGTCCATAAAGAAAATAACCACACTTGATACAGGAGGCTCACTATTTCTTTAGGTAAAGGTCTAAGGTTCTTCATAAAATTTATTTCTGCTTTAGAAGTTTTGTTCATTAAAACAGAGAAAGTGATGCTAAACCCTTTCATGAATTCTTACATGAAAAAAAAGTAATGAAATGGTCAACAACTTTCAATAGGAAATACTTGTTATTTGGCCAAGTCACTTAACCTTATTGAGCTTTAGTTTTCATGTCTAAATGAAGAACTAGAGTATTCATAGTCACTCATTCATTAAATATGTATCATGTGTCCCACTGCACATTAAGCCCTAAATTGTCATCTAAATTAGAAATAGCATAAATAGTATCTACCATAGTTTCTAATACTTAATCTGTACTCAGATTGTGACCAAAGTTGTTGACCATCAAGTTTCATCTTACTTAGATCCACAGTCAACATCCTTGGCATCAGCAGTCAGAACATCAGGAAGCATATTGCACTGGTGAAAGTCTGCAGTCAGGGATCTCTTCAAATTATTGAGGAGCAATGATTTCAGTTTGAGGACTAAGGTGCACCGGATTCAGGCCATGATCTTTTCAATCACTTGCTATGTATCTGATAACTAGGCAATAGGTAAGAATAGGAGAAGAAGAATTGGTGCCTCTGAATGGTGATGTTGGAGAAAAGCAATGAATAGCCCATGGATTGCCAAAAACCAAATTGATATGTCTTGGGAAAAGTACAGTCAGAGTGCTTTTTGGAGGCGAAGATGATAAGGCATCTCCTCACATACTTCCAACATGTTGCTAAGAGGGGCTATTCCTTGGAGGATAACATGATGCTGAGAAAGGCAAAGGGTTGGCAAAGGATAGGAAGACCCTCAACCAAGTAGATTAACACACTGACTGCTGCAATGGGCTCTAGTATGTCAGGAAAGGTGAGGAGGGTACAGGAGAGGACAGAGTCAAATCTGTTACTCATAGCGTCACTATGGGACGTATTCAACTCAACAGCACCTAACAACAAGAACAATAACAGATTATTATTTTTATTATTATTATTTTGTGTGTGTACCATCAAATCAGATCTGACTTGTACAGGAGGAGATTGTCCCTCCTCCAGCAGAGCATCTGGTGGGTTTGAACTGCTCACCTCTGGGATTGCAGTGCAGCTTCTTGCCTCTAGGCCACCAGAGCTCACCAGATTATGAATTTTTTCTTTCTTTCTTCAGACCATGAGATTTAGTAAATGGAAAAAGTAGGACAGCATTATTTAGGGCCTCATTTTTATACTTTAACTCTCATTTCACCAGTGAAGTATCCATGTGCAACTCAGTAAGGTAGGAGAGGGGTGTACAGAGAGCCCCAAGAGGCAATCAAGCAATCAATAAAAGATGAGGGAAAAAGGATACAGTAGACTTGAGATTCTGTTCGCGAGGCTCACCTATGATGGGATTTCTGTGAATGCAAAAAGACTGCTTAGGCGAAAAACCAATATATACTTAGCATGTAATGTTACACATAAACATTTGGCTAACTGAAATTTCAGCATTGAAGCAAATTTATTCTGAACTTTGAGCCAGCCTCAAAATTATGACTATGCTACTAACTCTCTGAGTATGTACTTAAATCTGATTACAGCTTATTTCATTCAAGATATAAGGGATAGTGGGGTACATTAAAAGAAGAAGTTATTGTCAAGCACTCAGCCCAGGCTTTCAGACAACTGCATTGGGCTAGAAATTGTAAAGGACTCATCAAAAATCTCATGTCTGTTGTAAATCCCATTGGATAATAGTTAGACATAGAAGGTGTTTCCCCTACTGAGTGGCTGTGATGAAAGCTGATTTTCAGAAAATATATCCTTGAATGCTGGTTTTCCAACTGAGTGGCTGTGATAAAAGTTGGCTTGCAGTGTATATATTCTGTCCTTGTTTCTTCTATTTTCCAGACTCGTAAATCGCAACCTTCCCATCCATAAATGGAATGAATAATATGTACCATACTGCATAATAGAAACCAAATACGGTCATGTAAATGTGGTGGAACTTCATTAATAATCATATATTAAATTCAACTGTAATTTGTATTTTTTTACTAAGGAAATTTTGAACCCATGGAGGATGAAAACCTTTTTTTCACTCCCAAAATCCTGCTGAGGAAAGTTACTAGTGGTCAGTCACCTTTAAAGCAAGGCTTTTAAAACAAAACAACTCAAATTTTACCTTTTGTATTACATGTTTGAAATTAATAGCAAATATTACCAATATGTGAATGTATGTTTGACCTTTTTTTGCAACCCTTTTAAGATTTAAGGGATTATTGGATTATTATCAGGTAGAAATACCAAGTTCACCCTAACATAGGCGTGGGGCCCATGTGGCTTTTGAGGGTTTATGAAAAAAATTCTTTGCATAACCTGATCAGGTAACCATGTGTTCTATGCATTTTAAAGTCTTTTTGGCATATTCTAATGACCTAGTTTACCATCATTAGTCTGCTTAAAGCAAAGAAGCCAGGATAAATTTAGGGCTCTTGCAGAAATTTTTAGAAGGTTCAGAAGAGATGAAAACAAATTAGCATCTGTACTTGGATTAAAATTGAGAAAAACTGATGAGATTCAAAGCAGGCATTTTCTCAGTGAGCATTTCCACTTGGCAGTTTACCTTATTCTCCAATCTTTCTTGTTCTCCTCCCGACTGTTGTATTTGGGGTACACACAGAAACATATTGCTTTAATATCAGAGGTTAGATCTGAAAAATTTTGTTCAGCTGTTTCCACTCAGATATTCTGTTCACACTAAATAAATATATTCTGAACTCCATTCTGTAACTATAGAAACCCTGAAATTCACCGTTTTCAGTGGCAAATACAAAAGAATCCTCAGTTAGAAAAGAGTGTGTTGTTAATTATTGATCTATTAATAGCTTTATAGACTTCAAAAGCCATTAAATTCTGGGAGATTTTATCTTCCCTCCATCCCCCATCCATTTTTAGAATTAAAGCTAGCCATGGTTAAACAAAGGGTTCTTCTACAGTAGTGCATTGACTATTTTAATTCTGTAAAGCCAACAACTGTGGAGTAATGCATGGGTGTGCCCTCAGGGAACATAAAACTCCATGTGTACCTTGTAGGAAACATACACAAAATCCAAGAAATACTGCCAATACAGAGATAGTAGTTTCTGATGCATCTTGAAGGTAGAAATGATCATGTCTAAAAAGAGAGGCTCAGAAATCCAAGGTAAAGTTTAAATTCCTGGTACAATTACTGGTCCTACTGATTTTATTTTTCTAATACTTCTCAAGCCCTTCAAAATTCTTATGATGGATAGATACCCTTTATAAAGGCTTCAACCTGTGTCCTTTTTGTCTTCCATACATGAATCTCATAAATTGTATGATTTATTGTTGTATTTCAATAATGACATGTTTCTCTACTTAGGGAGGTCCTTTCTCGCTGTTTTTTCTATTTGTAAGCTCCTTCAAGTCTTAAGTAAACTGACACTACCTCCAAGAAGTCTACTCTAAGACTTCCATCTTTTTCACCTTCCAAGAAGATGGTATTCCCAAACTGATTATTATTACAGCCCATTGCAGCCATGCTTTCTAAAACAGTTTTCTTTGTTCTCTAGTTCCTTGTATGATACATAAGAACTATTCCTTGAAAGTTTAAATGAAGTACTGATAAAATAAAGAATTCCTAGAGATGACTGGCAAGTATCACTTAAGAGGAATAAAAGGAAGAGAATCTTGCTTGATTTATGTTTAGGTATTCATCTATTTATTCATCAAACATTTATACAGCAACTACTGAGGGTTTTTTTTCTTTTTCTTTCCAAATACTTTCCCAGTATGTGTAATACAGTCTGTTTCAAAGTACCTGTAACTTAGATACAAATACATTAAGACTTTTCATATTGAAACAAAGAACATTTTCAATTTTATTTAAGCCACAAGGATAAGGAGGAAGTGCTTCATTTAAAAGGAACTTAGTCATAAATGCTCTGTCATATAACTGCCTCTAATTTCAATTTCCATAGGGTGGAAAGAAAGGAACGGGCCCGACTGAAGACAGTAAAGTTTAATGCAAAACCTGGAGTGATTGATTCAAAAGGGGTAAGTACAAAATAACGAAAACATTAAGTTATCCTCGTTGCCATAGATATAACTATAATTAAACTTTAAGTTTCAGTAGCAAATAAAGAGCTACTACACTGTTATAAATGTATTCTTAAATGTATTATAAATGTATTCTTAAACATGATTCCTGATGAAGTGAATTTACAGTATATAGATTACATAATTAGAGTCAAGCTACTACCAGTGTGTTGATACTGATGCAATGACTACAATGAAGGAAAATAAGATAGCTTAGAAGTTTTAAATTTTTTAATAAGTTTCTTTTAAAGAAAAGAATTTGTTTCATTAGCAGATGACTTATAAAACATTTCTAGTTGATTATAGATTACAAAGCTAAAAACACTGGTTGTGGAAAATATATATAAAAAAATACACTAAATGAATACCTGGATTGTTGTGACAGACAGAAAGAGGAATTACCATTTAATCATAAATATTAAAGCATTTACACAAAGGTACCTGCATTACTTTCATCGCTGTCATTCACATACCATAAAATTCACTCAGTGAAAGAATCCAGTTTAATGGTTTCTAGTTAGAGTTGAACAACCATCATCACAGTCAATTTAGAACATTCTCATCATTCCGTAAAGGGGCACCATAACCATTAACAATCACGAATCTCCTACTTTCTATTTCTATAAATTTGTCTATTCTGGATTGTCCTTGCATACTTTTATGGCTGGCTTTTTTCACCTAAGAGATACTAAATGCTTGAAAACATATTAAGAACTCTTTTCTTTCCAACTAATATTCTATCATATGTATATACCAAACTTTATCTATTCACCAACTGATAGGTATTTGAATTGTTTCCACTCTTTGGCTGCGATGAATAATGTTGCAAATATATTTTTATTTCTTTTAAGCACCTACTTAGGAAGTAATTATACTGGAGGGAACCTTGACAGTGAAATGGCTAAAGATTTTGGCTGGTAGCTAAAAGTTGGTAGTTTAAATCTATCAGTCTCTCCACAGAAGAAACATGAAACTATCTCCTTCTATACAGATTTACAGCCTTGGAAACTCTGTGGGTAGCTCTACTCCATCATACAGAGTCAATACGTGTTGGAATTGACACCATGTCAGTGGGTTAATTCTACTGAGTCACATTCCCAGAGTTTTTCCCCACTAACAGTGTATGAGGATATCAATTCCTCCATACCCTCCTCATAGTTTGCTTACATTTGTCTTTTTTTTTAATTATAGCCATACTGTTGTTGTGTGTTATCAAGGTGGAACCAATTTATAAATGACCCTCCACTGGGTTTTCATTTTTCAGAATTAGTTACTTGTCATTTTAGTATTTGTTGCATTATAAGAATTCATTTTCTGAATACTGGAAACTTCTCAGATTGATGACTTCCAAATATTTTCTCCCATTCTATCTACTGTCTTTTTTTTTTTTTTAATAGTGTCCATGGAAGTTCAAAAGGTTTGGGGCAGATGTGGGGAGTGCGGAGTAGAATAGGAAAGATTCACAGGGACTCAACATTATGGGGTAATAATAACATAGATCAATAGTAGCTACTTATAGAAAAGACAATGTATATGAATGATTTATGAAACACAATGTGAATGAAAGATTACATGAAACAAAATGTAAATTAGTAACTGTATCCAAACTAATATCCCCCCCAAAAAAATAAACATATATATATATACACACACATACACACACATACCCATACCTTTTCAACCTGTATGCAGAGCAGATTATCCGAGAGGCTGGGATCTATGAGGAGACACGTGGCGTTAGGATTGGTGGAAGATCTATCAACAATCTGCGTTATGCAGATGACACAACCATGCTCCCTGAAACTGAGGAGGACCTCATGCACTTACTGCAGAGGGTCAAGGAC